CATTGACATTGGCATTGTCCATTGAGGGCTTTATTGAAGAATAATCCAGCTTCTTTAAACTTGTATAATGGATTAATGGCGCTGTGAGTTATCAATATTTAAATCAACTTTAATATTTATTCCGTAACCAATATTTTAGAAGTTTAGTCTGTTTTACCAAACAATACTGGAGGCAAACAACCTATCTATCAATGGAAACTTTAAAAGGTTTGTTACAGTAAAACTCATTAATATAAGCGAGACTTCGAATTCGTGTGCATATACAGTTTATGAATGATGTATATCCTGATAAAACGTAGGACACTTTATACCAGATGTAATAAAAAATACTTTGCTAAACCTTTTCTGCTGTCATTCCTTTGCATTTAAGGGGAGAGGGTAAATGGCGATAGAATTTATAGGAGATGCTGTGCAATATTTTGGCTTCAACAAACAGGTACTCGTGCAGACAAAAAAGGAAATTCATGCAGTTGTGAATTGTCGTATGTCAGCTGTGCACTGTCGATTTCAAACAATTTTGTACGTTATATTTTGTCTTCCTGGTGTTTAACATAAACGATGATAACCTTTTAAAAAAAATCTAGAGCAATATGTCTATAAACAGTTTTAGAATCAATAAAATGGACATTCAATGTGTATTTGGCTTGTGTCCAAATGTGTCACGTTTACAGTAAGACCAGGCGCTAATCCTACGACCTATAAACAGTCGCTTTTGAGACATCTGTTTAAAAAAATTATACCGTGTCCATATCAGAACAATTCACTGGCATATTATAAGCATATTATAAATATCAGAGCCAGAACAGAAACGTACGCGTGAAATGAAACTACGCCCGAACCGGCGAACTCCGAGAAAAAAAATATTTCAAAGCGTACAGTCATACGTGTTCTCGTTGCTTGATTTCCTGAATTTTCTGTTGCTGTAAGAATCTGCATTTTAGCATGTTTGTATAATTTAAAAGCAAACAGAAACCAATTTAGCAAGTAGTTTGAGGTATATATGATTCTCGAAGATGAATTAGATGATTGTACAGAACGGCCACTCCTTGCAATCGAAGTGCGGAAGTGGAAACATGTAATATGAGACTTTTCCATCCCCCCTTCGGCTATCAATTTTCTATGTGTGACGTCATCAGCCCCGACCAGGGTCTTTGCTTCCCAAGAGCAAAGAGCCTGGGAACGAGGTTGCTTTGAGAACTGTATTGTAGATAATAAAAGTTGACTTGAGAGGTGGTTAATAATTCTATTGTAGATGCAACGTTCAAACACCTTGGTCGTTCGAAGAAAAGTGATATAGATCTATAGTTGGACACTTAATGGAAAGGACTTTTCTTTGGAATTGGACTGATATTAGACAACTTCCACTCCAATGGCAGTGTTCCCCAAGATAAACTCTTGTTGAAAAGTTTGCATAAAGATGGACTGATATTAGCTGTGCAGGTTTTTAGCAATACCACCAGAGTTTTGTCAGGACCAGTGGAAGCAACACCAAGGAAGAGATATTTCCAACATTCCCAATCAGTGTTAATATCAGTGGACTAGCTAGGTGGTAAATGGCACTGATCAAGCGGAATTTGAGAGAAGACACCTCACTGACAATCCATGGAGGAGTGTTAGCTGCTTGAATGTTTTGACTGGGATATGCTCAGCAGCAATACCAAGGAAGAGATCTTTCCATTGTTCCCAATCAGTGTTGATATCAGTGGACTCGCTAGGTGATAAATCGCACTGATCAAGCGCTATTTGTAACCCGTTCCCATCAGTAAGATGAAAGTTCAATACATGTCCTGTTAATTTTACTTGCAGTAAAAAGTTGAAGAACATTAGGTGGTGGTCACTAGAGAGGTGCACTGTTGGCTGCAACACACAATAGATTAACAATGTTGTCAAGAGTGGTTGTTAGGACAAGGTCTAGAATGTTAAGAAAAAAGTTGCTGTAAGAAAAAATCAAAACTTAGTTCTCTGAATTCAGAAGACCCAGCAGAACTATATTTTACTGAAATAACAGGCACAAAGTTCGAGTTCCAAGTTAGATTGGGGAAGTTAAAATAACCAGATATTAATACTTTATCATAATGGGAAGTTTCCTCCAGAAATGCCATGAACAAATAGAGCCATTCATCTAAGTTACAACTAGGAGGTCGGTAACAAACACACACAAGAGATTTCTTGGCATTTATCAATTCCAATTCAAGTACAATAATCTCTAAACGATCCGACCAGTTTGGGTTATTTTTACTTGCAATTAATCTATTATACTCAATGTCTTCACACATAATGCTATGAACACCCCGCCACGTGTTTGTCAGCCACTTGATCTTTTCTTATGACAACCTTTCGGTAGCAACTCATTGTTCGCGAAATTATGATTGAGCCATGTTTCAGTTACCAAACTAAAATCAAGATTGCCGGTATAAACCAGGTCTTGGAAAGACTTCAAGTTGTTAATTAAAGTGGCACTGTCATTAAAAACTGTACAGTAACGTCTTTTGAAGATTTTTGTTCCCATACTTAGTTCTTGAGATATTTCATTTTGTTTGTAACCATATGACGTTATTTACTCAATTACATATATAATGAGATATCGGTAATTGTTAATAGCTAACACATTACAGTTGGCCTTTGCCACAACACTTCGGATGTGCTGTGACCACTTTAAGTCGCTGCTTACTTGGATACCGAGATCTCGTTGAGTGGATTTAAATGGGATAAGTTCGTTGTTAAGATGGTACTCTGGTTGTTGGATGGATTTGTTTCTATTTAGTTCGAACTCGCACGATCGATGAACTATTGTAACTGTACAATCTCGAATTAAAGTCTATAGTGTATAGTGTTGTCTATTGCCTTCAAATCAGCGAAGTTTGAAACTCCTCAACCTCACGCAACCTGAAATAAAAGCCATCAACCCCCTGTAGGCCCAAACGAATCACAAAATCTAAAATCAAGCCTACAATTATTAATTTGAAACTGTAGGTCATAACGATAATTACAGGACAATGAACGTTTCCTTAAAATGGTATCACACATTGGAATTCAAATATAGCTTAATCAGCCAGATACTGATATAAGTTCCAATGAAATAATGGATTTCTGCGGCATTGATGAGGAGTTCTGAGGATCTAGTGCTGGTTTAGATTGTGATAATAGCTAACACATTACAGCACGAAGAAGCAGCCCATTAGAAATTGAACAAACATTGGCGGGATTTTAAATTCATTGTATTGACTTTTTAATTAAGGGAAATCCCCAAGAATGAAACCAAAGACGTTTATAATTATTTAAATTGTATTTATCATGAAAACACCAAGACTTGATATAATAGCAGGAACAAAGTATGTAGTAAGTAATTTGAGACAAATCCGGTAAGTAGAAAACGAGATAATGACCAACAAACCAAATTCACAACTTGTAAACCATAGACACCATGACACCGACAGATGACCATGGTAATAAAATCGCAAATACAGACCTTCCAAGTTTCCCACAATTACCGTGAAATTCCCGCATTTTTGTTTGCTTTCACGCATCACGCATGAAGTGACTTTCTTCCCGCATTTTTAAACTTAACTTGTCGAGGTTTCTAATTGTGGGGCAATTACGTATACTCCCATTTCTTTTCATCAATTGCACAATGTTCAAATGTTCAATGCATTCTTTTTGCCAACGCCAGTACCCAAAAGTCTTGAAAATGTATGTCTCAATCGCATATCAAAAAGATACAAAAAAGCTGGGAGACTCCTGAGCCTGAGGAGCGCTATTTCTTGCCGTTTGGGAAGAAGCGACGCTAACATTTCATATTTTTATAGCATGAACACATAAGGTTTGTGCTTCGAAAAAGGCGGAAGAAAAACCTCGGAAAGGCAATTTTCTGGCGATCTGCGGAACTAAAATTTCAAATCTTCCCCCAGGGAGCGCCAACTATCGTGGCGCCTGTAGACACTAACCTAAGGAAATTACCTTCCCTCCTAAAATTTTTCAAAACTTGACAGGTCTGCAAATATATGTGTAAATTTACAAACAAACAGCACAAAAGATATATCCATGGAGTTACACGAACTTTATAGTAAAACTGATACTAAATTAGTATCGTTCCAAAGAGATATGAGATTAAACAAGATAAAATTTTATATTTTGTCATATTTCTTACATCGTTATTCATTTGAACGATTTTGGCCATCACAGGTTCAATAATTGCCAGCAGCCAGACTGTAAAGTAGTAGCTTTGCGCGAGAAAGGCTTTTTTTTTCGGTAGAAATGCGCGGATTTTTTTGAAACATAAAACGCAAAAAACAATTTTCGGTAAAAATGCGCGGGTTTTTTTGGGGGGAAACGCCGCGAAATGTGCTGCAGAATTTAGAATTGCACAAGTGTGTCTAATTTCCAGCGGGTCGATCGCAAAACTGTTTGCTTCATTGCTTGCAGTGGTTTGCTTGGAAATATCAAATATCCATGGTAACGTTAACAATGTCAGTGCAATTATAACGTATCTATCACTAAACATTAGTAGCATTTCGTCATTTCATAGATAAGTAGAATAGTAAAGATAACTTATAACTATTCTGATATAAATGCACAAATGCACATTAAAAGTTTACATTAACCTGTAACTGAAGAGTGACTAGTCTTCAGTATTCATGAAACACGATTAGTTCTAATTGTTAGGCGTTAGGCTTTACTAATTAGTCTAATTGATGAAGTAGATGGACATGTAAGACTGTAAAGCCTAAAAAGCCTCCCTCTTAAACAAACATTTAAATGTACAACTGTTGTATTAATGTATTATTAACAAAATGAACACAGTTGACTTGTAGTTCAGTTTTCCACTGTTCATATGAATCATATGCATTTACAGTAAGTACGGAAGCTTGGCAGGAGTTACCGACAGCCTTTTGAGTACCTTTGACAAATCAGTGGAAGACTTTGCCTTAAAGACAGGGATGTCATTTTATACCTTGTGTCTTGTCGCCATTGATGTCGCCATCTTGTCTTAGTCATTTCTGTCAACGCCCTTTCACACTGTAAGATGGGTGGGAAACACCAGTCAACGCCCTTTCACACGGTTGCTCAGAACTTCTAAGCTCTGCCCGCCGTCCATTTCCTGTTTTTCTACCACTACCAGTGCTGCTAGTTTCTTCACAGAGGCTCAGATTCAAGGCAGAAACATGTGGGAGACGACCAATGAAGCCTACCACTCTACGGAATTCGTTTGCACCAATTTTCGCAAACTTATTCTTGTTGACAGGTACCTTAGCTGGGTTATCTCTTGTTCCTGAAAGGCCAGGGAGCAAAACACCAAATCAAGGCAAACATGGAGTAAATCATTGATTTTCGGAGAACAATTCTTGTATCGTTCATCTAGCTCATTGATCATACCAGCAGCCAACGACTTTAGATCTTTTGTGCAATCTTCAGGTTCTCGTGCTATCAGCTTATAACGACCACCACCATCATCGTCATTGTCACAATCATCGTCATTGTCACCATCATCTTTTGGACGACCATTCTTGTCTTGTAGTATCCACCTGCGCACCAACACAGTTGTACCATATTTGAACTGCTCTATATCTTTTGCGTGCTTATGAAGCAACAGGCAAATCGATTTTTCTGGCTTCGGTTTTGCAACCTCTTTCTCGAATCGTTTAAGCTACGCTTTGACCCGCTTCACATATATGCTACAAACTTCCAGCCTGGGCACCATTCTTGTTGTGCTTTCAGCATTAGGACAACCAAAGGCCACAGGAGGTCGATCAAGCCACATAAATCGTAAACAAAATCATTGCCACACAACTTGTACAGGATATCAGGTTTATTGTGGTGGTCTTTGAATGTTTCAGCATAAGCTTCATAGCTTCTCTGAAGATTTGTTAGTGACAAATAGCTACTGCTCATGAAACGCTGGGGAGCATAAGAATTAGTGACAAGGAATGGTAACTTCAATTCTTTTGCTGTCACCTCAGCAATGGAATGCATCTTGCCACGCCTGAATAGCTGATGGAACATAGCAACACGCCCAAGAAGACGAGTTATCAACTTGGAATCGTGGAACTTGGAAAACACTTTGTCCAGCCAATGACCTGGGTCCCACTGACATTCCCACCAGATGTCTTGCAAAAGAATTTTCTGATCTTCTTTATCACATCTTTCTCAAAGAACTTCAAAGATTGTTCATTCGTGGCACCTACGAATGGTGGAAAAAAGAGGCAGAATAAACACAAATTACTAACAATATATGCTTCTTTTTGCTTTTTGTAACATCAAAACTACACGATGTTTATCTTTTGAGTAGAAGTAGGCTGAGTAGCCAGGTTCAAGTTATAGTTTACCTTATTCTTGAAGCTTGAAAAATCTTTTGACTCTTTTATGCCTTGTTTTTTAAACGTTTTATGCCGTATTCCAAACTCCGAAAAGACTGGAGTGGAGTCCAAAGGCCATTGTTATGCAATGCTCAATGTGAAACCATGTGTACAACGCATGATAGAAGCATGTCTTGCTCACCTGCAGGTGATATATGACGTTTTTCATTACCTACCTGAACTGAAGTTATTTATTGATAATCAACAAATAAATCAAGTCCAAGAAACTTCATTTCTGGGAGTTATACTAGATGAAAACCTTTCCTGGAAATCTCATATTTCCCATATATCAAAGTAAGATCGCCAAATCTATTGGAATTATTTTCAGAACTAGCTTCTACCTTCTTAAATCATCACTAAAAATGTTATATTATGCACTGGTGGTTTATTCCTATCTTTAATATTGTAATAATGTTTGGGCTTCAACCTACCCATCAAATCTTAATCGCATTGCTATTCTGCAAAAACGGATAGTTAGAATATTAAGTAAAGGTAAGTTTGATTCTCATACCGATCCCTTCTTTAAAGAACTCAAACTGTTAAAATTCCATGACATTTGTAAACTTCAGTTGGGTCAATTTGTTTTTTCATGGAAAAACAATACTCTTCCGGACAATTTTAAAGATATGTTTGTATCTAATGAACAAATGTTTGGCCTTAAAAGAAACTTGAGGAGTGCCAAAAGTCTCAGAATTCCATTTTGTAGAACAAGATTAAAGATGATGTCCACTCTGTTCTGCGCATCAGTTCTGCTCATAACAAATGGAGACCCCCAGATATAAACATTGCCAAATTTTGCATCTTTCAAACTTTTTTGAATTGAAACGTAGAGTTTATATTCATTTACAAGCATGGCGAACCAGAAAAGTGTTAGATATTCAGTTAGTATATCATATTTTACAAATATAGAAGTTCAAAACGTAACAAAGTTTGCACATGCACAAATGAGTGGACATCATCTTTAAAACAATTTTCAGTTTGATTTCAAGGTCCTAAATTTTAAAATTCTCTCCCGGTTGAAATTACAACCGCATCTTCTTCAAGCAATTTTAAATCCAAATTATTGTCATTTCTTCAATCTAGTCATGCCTAAAATGTTTATCTTGATCTTTGGACTTAACTGTTTTGATTATTTGATAGTGAATGTTATATATGCACATAATATCTTTATTTTTTTCATCTATTTAATTAAAATAATGTAAATATAATTATACCATGAGGGAATCTAAATTCAAAATAAGCTTTTTAGTTTCCATTTTTGGATTTCCTCACCACTATACGCTTGATGTTTTGTAAGTTATGTTAATATGTTATATATGGAAGATTTGTAATTTATCAATAAATATCCTTTGCAATCTTTGCAACAACAGCATTCTTTAGCATTTTGTAGCAGTTCAAGCTGCAGTTGCCACAACAAATTCACAAAACAAATAAACAACTATCATATGGTGTCCCATGTCCGCCAAAAATCAACTTTTGCATTTCACCATATCATATTTTGAGGATCATATTCATTTTATTAAAATAACAACATTGTTTTTGAAGATCACCAGTTTATCGGTTGAAAACACAACTTATTTTTTGAAGACCAACTTTTGATACCCAACCGCAATCCAATGTCTTTTTTGTTCGCGGGCTCATATTGCCGTGATTTCCCGCTAAAATCATCTCTGTCTGAAACACATGTTTTATCAAACAATGGCGGAGTTGAAACAGGTTAGAGCGACACTTCTGAAGGTTGCTGACCAAATATCGGCCTTAGGGAGCAACAAATCTTCATCAGGTAAAGTACTAAAGTAATTAAACTTTTTATATATTCAGTGTTTTATTTTCCTTATCCATTTTGTACAGGCTGGCCCGCTTTAATATGTAAATTCAAGAACATGAATTATTCATATACTGTACAATGTACATGATATGTATTATATAAATAGTTAATTATGATTTTAATATGATATGGTGTTGGCGGCTCGTATTTGACTTTTGATCAGGTTAGATTGCAGAATACCCCTCCATTTTCTACATTACACAGTATTAAAGTTGTTGTATTGTTGGCACTTGTTGCAATTTTAGTTGCCATTTTTTCCTGCACTATACTGTAGGAAGCAATTTTGTATTGGGAGGACTGATATATATTTAATAGTCAGGAGCGATTATTTAAATTAGGTCATTATTTTTCTCTCAAACTTTACAGTTTATTGCTAGTTTACAAATTATCATGCAACCCTAATAAAAAAGTAGCATTATAATGGTCAATTTATGATAAATTCTTGATGTATTCACTTAAAAATAGAGACAACAAGTAGCAGACCACCTGAGAGTGAAGCAACAACAAGCAGTTCTTCCAGTACTGCCTCCAATGCTGCAAGTGAGCACAGGCGACTTTTCAACTTTGGGAAAACTCGTCATTTAGTTACCAAAAGCAAAGGCAAACAAAGTACGAAGGGCAAGGGAAAGCAACCTGCAACAAAGTTTAAATTTGTTTGTCTTGCGGATAGCACAACCAACTGCCCTCCTTTATCTGTGAAAGAAAAAACTAATCTTTGCAATGCAGGACTTGGTGATACTACAATACTCTTGGAGCTGAATGATAGCAGTGTATATCTTCATGAAGAAGTTCTGAAAACCTTTCCCAAACTCAGTGATACAGGCGGTTATGAACTGTTATTGCACCAGAGAGGAGGCGGGGAGAATGGAGGATTTCATACAATCAAGCCCCCGCTCTGCAGTTTGCGACTGAAGGATGTCTGTGGCAAAGCAAAAATATATGTAAGGCCTTTGCAAAGAAACATCCCTCTTGATTCCTTTGATGATGAAATTCCAGAAGAGGAAAATGAGGTATATGTGTGATATATTATTTCATATATATGTTGCTTTTATAACTACCATTACAGAGTGACCTACCTGCATTCACCACTTTTCCTCACAAAACTACCAGATGGACAAGTTCTGATTCCCAGAACTATTTTTTAGATTT